GGCAGGCAGCAGCAGGAACAGATCCCTGTCTTCAAAACAAAAGAAAAAACGGTGAATGCAGAAAGATGATGTAAAATAAGGGATATGGGAATGAATGGGAGTGGCTATTTCCAAGGAGGAGGAATAGTTCTGCCCGGACAGCAGATGGTGATCCCCCCACCTTGTTTTACAGCAGTGGACCAAAAATCGAGCACCAAGGAGCGGTGGACATCTGCCCCGAGCACTCCAGCCATACGGCAGCGCGTGGCTGTGCTGCCTGCACCGCAACCTCAGGCTGCTGAGCCCTGAGGAGCTCCTAAGAGCTGGGTGAAAAAGCAGAGATCTTGTTGGTGACAGCGGCCTCCTGACTGTGGAACCACGGAACCATGGAACCAAGGAACCATGGAACCACGGAACCATGGCGCTACAGAACTGCGGAACCACAGAACCATGGAAGCACGGAACGACGGCGCCAACCGCCGGTCCTCACGCAGCACTTCGCTCTGCAATCGCGCACTGCGTTCTCAGCTCCGGTTGACTGAGCACCAATCAGAATGCGCCTCGGCCTCATCGCCCACACCTGACGCCAATCACGGGCTGACGGTCCTGCACGCCCCGCCCCACGCGGGGCGCCCACTCACGCCTCCAGGCCGCGGCCCTGACCGGGCGGCAAATTGATCCGCCAGCGCACAGGTGGCGCTGTCCCACCGAAGTGGATGCGGACGCTCCCGGAAGTTATAGGGCGGCTCAAGGATGCGATAGAGGCGGCTCCCGGAAGTGGCGCCCCCGGCTGTGTCGGGCGGCGCTGACTCTCTCGTGTTGGCAGTGCGTTCCTCCGGGCTGTGTGCGCGGCTTCAGGTTTCCCTTTACGGAGCCTGATGTGCAGCGGAGCGTTCGGGCAGCGCGGTGCCCGTATGTGGCGGCGTTGAGAGCACGGCTACTCGGTGCCCGCGCCCCGCCGGGCCCAGCAGCTGCTAATCTGCTGTGCTCGTGAGGCCGCCAGCTGGTGGTGGAAAGCTGGGGATCCAGCAGGCTGAACAGAGCGGCTGACAGGGGATCTGAGCAATGGTTATCGGTATCTGAAGGGTGAGGGTCAGGTGTAAGGTGGCGCATTACAAGTGCAGAATGCTTCTGAGGGCGTACACTGAGAAACATTGAAGGAAAAGACACAGTATAAGAAATGTAATAAAAAAACTAGCTGAAAACATGGTCGGGTTGATGGATGGTCTTTATGATTTTATTTCGTAAAGAAAAACGATACTATGACAGTGACAGAGCAGTGGAACATGTTGCCCAGAGAGGCTGTAAAGTCTCCTTCTCCAGGGATATTCAAACCCTGCCTGAACACTTTCCTGTGTAACATTCTGTAGGGAAGCTGCTCTAAGCGGTGTTGGACTGGGGGATTTCCAGAGGTTCCTTCCAACCCCTGCAATTCTGTGACTCTGTGAGGTTCCTGTTGTGAAGAGAGCTCCTCAACTAGCAGCTGCCTGGAGCATCTGGAGACCCTGCAGAGGCCCTGTGTTCTCAGAAGGCGGATGGCTTCACAACATGGGCACTGGATTAGGAACTAAGGTTTCTCTTTTCAGCAGCTTCTCAGTGGTGATCGACAGTCCTCTTGTAGTGAGCACATCAGGTAAGGGAAGCAGGCCTGGCAGTTGGTTGCTCAGAAGGCTGAGACATTGCTTTGTATCATGGATTTTGCATGGAAAGGTCAGGATTCACGCACAGACAAATCCCTCCTTTTGCCTGACTCTCCTGTCACTTCCTTAATCTGTCAATGTCCTCTGTCTTAGCTTTCTGCAGGTCTTCAACAAGAAATCGGTCTTTTTTCTGGAGGATCTGAAAGAGCATCTCTTGGGCCTTGAGCCCTTTTTTCTCAACTAGGTCCAGCAGAAATTGATTCTTCTTTTGTTTTGTATTTTGAGCTTGTACCTCCTCTTCTTCTTCACTGTTGATTACGTCTTCAACACTTAAATTTAGCAGAATGGAGGAGAGCTGCCCCATCCTGGAACAAAGCTCTGTCTTGTGCTTCTTCAGGAAGGCTGCACCTAGCAGATACCAAAGTGTGTGTTACTGTGCTGCACGTGACAAGGCAGGTTGGTTCCTGCTGTGGTACTCTGCATCCTAGCCAACACACGCAAGGGCCGTTTGCTCTGTCCCACAGCCACGTGCTCCCATTCCCTCCAGTGCACCAGCAGTGCTGCTCTCTGGCCAGGAGGCTGAGCCACCAGAAGAAAGCTCCCTCATCAGCGGTGGAAGCATTGGAGCCAAGGCAAGGACAGGGCCCGAGCTGAGGGAGGTCAGGTTGGTGACAGCCCAGGGACCGTCCCTTCCAGTGATCCTACGGTATTGAAGGAAGAGGGAAGCACTGGCTCTGTGATAAGGTATGAGATGCTCCAACTCCACCAGATTTTGAAAGTCCCATGAAATATTTCTGGGCTGTGAACTGTACTAGCTGTAGCTCATTCTCTATAGAAGTAAGTCTGATCACAGAGAAAGCAAAACAGTTTGGAGGGTCCTCAACACTATGCCAGGTTAGAGAGCATGCAGGCAGCAGTGAAATAATAAAAGCTTTACAATTTTTTTTTGTCATGAAAGAGTCACAGGTATGGGAAAAAGGTGGTTGGTTATCTGCTTTAAGCCAGAAGATTGAAATCCCCAAATAAATATTCAGACTCAATAACTGTAGCTCTGAAAACCCGTACTGACCTGAAAGCTTTTTGGATTTGTTTCCAGAATGACTAATATCACCTGAAAGAGAAAGGAGGGAGCTTATGAAATACACCATCACAGAAATGGAGACCGTTTCTAGAAGCCTTACTGAGATGCCTGATGTTCCATGGACCCATTAGCCATTAATTCCTGCTTACAGTATTCCTTGCCCATCTGTTAAGAGCTCAGCTAAGCAGGGTGCAGTGTTGTGTACATTTGCAGGTGTTTGTTTAGGGGTGCAGAATTAGCCTAACAGAGAGGGAATCCCAAGGCACAATTCCATACCGTGCACTCAGAGTATCTGAGCTTCTCTTTTTGCTGTCACAAGAAGTGCAGCTCAGTGTGCCATCATCTCAATCCCCCTTACAGATGGATCTGATCCTACCTGATCTCAGTGATGCCCTCCAGACCTCGGTGTCATTCTGTCCATCTGTGATAAAGAATTCCACTTCCTTTGCCATTTTCCTGATGTAGATCTCAACAAAGAGCTGTTGGTCCTCTGGACTCTTGTAGCAAAATGGTAAGTGTGCCTGTAGAGATAAGATGGAAGTTGGGTCTTACCCTGTGGAGCTGTGAATTTACAAACATCATCTCATGCTTCCAGGCCACACAGAAACAAAGAGAAAAGTGTGAGAGGCATGGAACTCTGGAGTGTCTCATCTGTTGTCCTTCACAGAAGGACTGTGTTGCCAACTCTAGATGGGCTCAGCGTTGGTTTGGTCGAGCAGAATACTGAAAGCCTTAAAGAGCAGAGATTTTACCACCATTTTTATGTTCTCTGAGCGTTGCACCACCACTGCAATTTGGAGAACATGACGTTCAAGCAGTGGCAGAGGGACTTGGTTTTTTTTTTTTCCTGGAGAAGAAAGGGCAAAGAAAAGAACTAATCATTGTTTTCAATAGTGTTAAGAAAAGGTAGAGCCTCTTGGAACTGTACAGTGATGAGATGAGGTAATGTACAGAGGCTGAGACAACTCTGAAATTCTGATTAGATAGTAGGTTAAAGATTACTATGCTGAACTGGAGGCCCAGAGAAGCTGTGGAACTTTCTGTTTCACTCAAAACCAAAATAATTTAAAAAAGGAAACTGTCCCACTTACTTCAGGTGTAATCTTCACTTGAGTGTTACTGCACACCTGGTATCTGTGGCCAAAAAACAGGGGACGGAATGGAGAAGGCTTGGGAATAAGCTTTGAGTTCCAGCTTGTCTCTTGTCTTTCAATGGCCTGTAAACATCAAGGATCACTTTTGAGTGTTGAAAAAAACAGCTGTGAGCTGGAGGTAGCTCTCACTGACCTTGGAAAATCAAGAAGAGAAGAGACCAACCTGTCAGAACAAAGCCCTGAATGTGCATTGAAGGCAGTGCTATCAGAGGGTAAGGGCTGCATGCAACAGGAGAGCATCTGCTATGCAGCCACCTATTACTGTGCATGGCAGCAGCCACATGTCTGACATGTGCTCTGCTCCACGTCGCAGAGCATCCTGTGCCATGTCTTTGCTCATGCTGGGATATGCTGTCCCAGCCAAAAACACAGAGATTCCTGAGAGAGCTCTCTGCTTAACAAATCCATTCCCTGAAACTCCAGCCGCCCCAGATGCCATCCCCTGAACTGGTCAAGCTCCCTCCACCTTACCTTCTTCACAGAGCTGTCATCTGGGATCAGGTAGAGATGCAGGGTTGTATTTGCAGCGGAGAGCTGTTGGAAGATCAGCACTAAGGAGTGCACAGGGAGAGAAATGGCTGAACGTAACTTTCTCCAAACCACTCCAAGAAGAGAGAAGCTGGGATTCTCCAGGACTGCGGAGAAGGCCATCACTTCTGTTGGTTGCTGTATGGTCATCTTCTGGAATTCAAAATGGGCAATCGAGCACCCACTGATGTCTACATCTGAAAGAGACAGCAAAGGCAACAAGGTTCTGCTTTGTCTTCCTTGCACCCTACCAGGTTACCTCTTTCTCTTTGAGGATTTATTAGAAAAAAGGAGACACAAACCAATACAAAATGACATGCTCTGCTTTAGGGGTGATGTATACCCTGAGATTTACACGGTTCCTGTGCGTGGCTTGGTATTACAGTTCTTTGATTGCCCACCTTTGGGCTCAGAAAACTGCAAATTTGAGGTAGCAGCTTGAGACTGCTGCGGATCTGGGGCAGAACCTTGTGGGTCTCCACAGCCACTGTGAGAAGAGGGGAGGAGAATGCAGTGGTGTGAGTGCAGAGCAGGTGGTGGGAAAGGGAGCACTGTGAAGTTTCAATATAACGTTAAAAAAGGATGGAGGATGGCAAAGCAAGGTGGAAGAATACTAGAAAGCACAGGCTACCTCTGAAGGGAGGAGAAAATTTGGATCAATCTTAATGGAGATCCTAAGAAGATGCTTTGGTAAGTTGCTGTTATGTGTGTGTTGTGTGTATAGGTCCTGGAAGTATCCCTGGCAGACAGGGATTGGAGGCTGAGGGAAAGCAGCCTGGGACAACCCAGGCGCCTGAGCAGCAGGGGGCTGTGACTGGAGCAGGTCCCATGGCTGCCATACCTGACAGGCAGATGAAGTGGGGGAGATACACAGCTCGCACGGTTCCAGGCAGCGCCCCGATGTTGAAAAGAGGCCCAGCAGGTACCCACACATTCTGGTCAGCCTCTTTCAGATGCGTGCTCCAGGAGGCATATCTGTACACGATGCTGGCTGCTGACTCCACCTCGAAGGCAAGGCCCGTCTCAGAGCACTGGAAGATGCCTGGTCCAGGGAGACAAGCTCTGCAAGTGGGAGAGAAGGCAGGCTCGCACCATGTGTGATGAGGGCTTTTGGAAAGTGTTCCCACTTCTCCTAGGAGCTCTTACTTGTATATCTTCTGTTCCTCCAAAATGTATGGATCTGTCTCCGGCCTCACTTCTTGAAATTCCTGCAACAAAAGAGCGACTGATTTGGAGCTGAATGGGGTGTTGTGCATTGGATGCTGCTTGCAGGAGGCGTGCTGAGCGCTGCAGTGAAGCACAATGCATGCTGGCACAGGAAGGTCTTCTGAACAGTTATGCACGCTGGCATGGGGAAAATACCACTTAGTGCATGTGTCCCTGATACATCAGCAGGAAAGATAATAGTTAAACGTGCAGCGCAATACCTGCAGCCCCATTCTAGAAGTTTCACACACTGATTTTGGGGATTTATTTTGGGCATGGAAATTCTACATAGTAAAGTTTATGTTTCCTGGGAGAGAAATTATTGGCTGCCGACTTGCTTCAGCAAAGAGAAAACAGTGAACACAGACAGATGAAAGGTTTAGGGGAAATGTTTAGATGAAATTTGGGATTTAAGTGTGTGGAAAAGAGCCTTTCCACTAATGTAAAACAGATCAATGCATGCTGAGTTAGTGCAGCAAGGATAATGGACTCTTCTGGAGTGCAAAGAAAGAACAACAGGTCCTGAAGGTACAGGTGGGAGCTGAGGTCTGCCTGCTGTGCCCTGTGACGACCAGTAAGGCCAGTGCAGAGCAGAGCTGTAGGCAAGGACCCTTACCTGCCTCACACAGAGACAGCTTCTCTCCTCTGCTGGGACATCTGACTGTGGCCATTTCTGGATTCCCTGGAAAAGAGGAACACAGGAAGAGCACTCCCAAGCCATATTTTTCCACTTAGATGTGCTTGCTTGCCAGGGGCATAGAATCATAGAATCATATAATTGCTGAGGTTGGAAAAGATCTTAAAGATCATCAAGTCCAACTGCAACCGAACTGTACTACCCTAACTCTAACAACCCTCTGCTTAATTATGTCCCTGAGCACCACATCCAAATGTTTTTTAAACTCATTCAGGAATGGTGACTCAACCACCTCCCTCAGGAGCCTATTCCAGCGCATAACAACACTTTCTGTAAAGAAGTTTTTCCTGATATGCAACCTAAACTTCCCCTGGTACAACATGAGGCCATTTCCCCTCATCCTGTCACTTGTCACCAGTGAGAAGAGACCAACCCTTGCTTTAATCACCTTTCAGATATTGGAAGAGTCTCCCCTCAGCCTCCTCTTCCTGAGACTGAACAGCCCCATTTTCTTCAGTCTCTCCTTGTAGGACATGTTCTCAAAGCCCTTCACAAGCCTTACTGCCCTTTTTTGGACCTGCTCAATGTCCTTTTTGTATTGAGGTGCCCAAAACTGAACACTAGAAGTGAGTACTAGAAGTGAGGCTTCACCAATTTTGAGTACAGGGGCAGGATTACTTCCCTAGTCCTGCTCACCACATCATTCTTGATCCAAGCCAGGATGCCACTGGCCTTATTGGCCACCTGAGCACAGTGCTGACTTATATTCAGCCAACTGTCCATCAGTACACCAAGGTCCCTTTCTGTCAGGCAGCTTTCCAGCCACTCCTCCCCAAGCCTGTAGGGTTGCCTGGGGTTATTGTGACAAAAATGCAGGACCCAACACTTGGCCCTATCGAAACTCATACAGTTTACCTTGGCCCATCAATCAAGTCTATCCAGATCCCTCTGTACTGCCTTTCTCCCTCTGGCAGATCAGCACTCCCTCCCAACTTACTGAGGGTGTACTCAATCCCCTCATCAAGATCGTTAATAAAGATGTTAAATAGAACCAGCACCAGTACCAAGCCCTGGGGGACACTGCTTGTGACTGGCCACCAACTGGATTTAAGTCCATTGACCACAACTCTTTGGGCCCCGCCATCTAGCCAGAGTGTACACCCATCCAAACTGTGAGCAGCCAGCTTCTCCATGAGAATGCTGTAGGGGAGAGTGTCAAAGGCTTTACTGAAGTCCAGGTAGACCACATCGACAGCCTTACATTCATCCACTAAGCGGGTCAGCTTGTCATAGAATGAAATCAGGTTTGTAAAACTGGATCTACCATTTGTAAACCCATGCTGACTGGACCTGATCCCCTGGTTGACCTTTAACTGGTCCATAATGGCTCCCAAGATTATCCGTTCCATAACCTTCCCCAGCACCGAGGTGAGACTGATAGGTCTGAAACTACCAGGATCATCTTTCTGGCCCTTTCTGAAAATGGACGTCACATTTGCCAGTCTCCAGTTTGCCGGGACATTTCCAGTTAGCCAGGACTATCAAAGGATGGAGAGTGGCTTGGCAACCACATCCACCAACTGCTTGAGCACTGCAGGGTGCAATCCATCTAGCGACATGGACTTGTAAGCATCCAGCTTTTAGAGCAGGTCCAAAACCATCTAATTGTGGATTATGTAGGGCCTATTCTGTTCCCCATCTCTATCTACCAGTGCAAGGAGCTGTGTGCACAGGGAGTAACAAGTCTTACTATTAAAGACTGAGGCAAAGAAGGCATGAGGAGAGGCCTCCTGGATGCACCACAGACCAGCCCAGCAGCAGCATAGGTCCCTGCAGAGATGGCTGTGGGTTAAAGGTGCCCAGCCCTACCTGGGGGCCAGCCCTGTCACATTCCTCCCTCTGTCCCAGGCCTCAGGCATCCCACGAGACCTTACCTCTGCACCTGTTGAGGTGATGCCTGACAGACTGGTCTTCATTTCTATAATCGAAGAGACACCTGCTGAACCACTCTGCATTTCTATCCTTGAGGCAATTCCAGATAAACCACCCTGTTGTTGCACCTCTGGTTCTTGATCACTTGTGGCTGGAACAAGAAGATGGTCATTGTCTCTACAGCTCACTGCAATCACCTGAAAGGAGGATGCGCTGAGGACAGTGTTGGTCTCTTTCCTTGGGTGACACGTGATAGGATGTGAGGTGGCACTGGGGAAGTTCAGGCTGGATGTCAGGAAGAATTTGTTCCCAGAATGGGTGGCCAGGCATTGGGACAGGCTGCCCAGGGAGGTGGTGGAGTCACAGTCCGTGGAGGTATTTAAAGGATGTGTGGCTGTGGCACCAAGGGACAACGTTTAAAGGTGGACTGGTAGTGTTAGGTGGATGGTTGGACTTGATCAAATGGGTCTTTTCCAACCCAATTGCAGCCATCCTACCTTCACCCAGTCTTCCCTATCCCATTGGCTGCACAGTCCCTTGGTGCACCACCGCATGCTCCCAGATTTACCACAGCTTCCATGCATGAACTCACCACCCATGCAGATCCCCTCCCTCCACAAGAGTGCCAGTGAGGACTGTGATCTTACCTGAGACATCTTCCTTGCCCTTTAAGGGAGCTGAACCACCACCTCGCACTGCAACAGCAACACAAAGCAGAGGAGAGCTCAGGAGCCCGGTCACATCAGGTGAAGCATTGCCCCACATCCATTTTCCTTTCTGCCCTCTCCTCCCAGTTCTTCCCTCCCAAGGCACAGGGCTCCATGCCTGATGGTCCTCTTGCCCCTTTCCCTTGGCAGCCAGAGGCCAGCCTGCTCCCATGCCACTCCTCACCTCTGGCCTGGTACTTACACCTAAGAATGTGGTGTACAATGCTGTTGGAGGTGATGTTGTAATGTCTGAGAGTTAGTTCGTCATTCAACTGCCAGCCATCATGAATCAGTCGTGCCTGAGAAGGGTAGAAATAGCTATCCAGTGCAAATAGCTTCGTCTTTAGGTCCAGCACCGTGTCGTCCAAAGAGACTGGCACAGAAACAATATTTCCTAACAAAGACTTCACATAGATGGAGAACGTGGAGCTGAGTGTGGTCCCTGCCATCTTTGCTTTGACTCTTTCAGCCATCTGAATCACGGCGATGTCTGTGTGTGAGGGAACACAACAGTGTCGGGGCCACAGACGGCCATCCAGGAACTGGCAGCTGCCCACAGTACTTCCTCCTTTGTCACATCCCTAGAAAGTGAAAGTACGGAGATATTTCCGAGAAAAAATGCTTGTCATCACTCCCTCCTCTGGCCTCTGAGTGTCAGGGCAGGGAGATGGGGAGCCAGGGAATGCAGAGGAACAATGAAGCAGGGAGGCAACGCTTCTTCCCGAGGGCATGGCAGGGCATGGCTTGCATTAGAACTGGGGGCTGCAGGCAGAGCAGTTCCACAGGGCTTGTCCCTCCTGCTGAGCAGAGAGCATCTCACCTTCAAAAAGGGCTCAGTCGCATCAAGGAGAGCTGTCCCATGGCCGGCAGCCAGTCAGGAGATGGGCCTCCCCTTCTTGAGCGTTTCCATTGGGGGTGGAAATTCAGCCCAGGACCATGAGACGTGTAAGCAATGCCCCACGAGAGGGCAGTCGACATCCTACACAGTATCAAGGTTGTGTAATCAGTGTGAAAGGCAGTGGTAACCCAGCACAATCTGCATCGAGGGGAGAAAAAACTTTTCTCTGCACTCAAGGTGGTCTCAAAAATCACAGCATGAAGACAATGTCTGTGTGGGGCATGTGCTAAGAAAAGGCACACAGAGATGCTGACACCTCCAAACAGGGTATGAAGGATAAGGAAAGCAGTTCAGTGCAGAAAATAGAAAGCATGCCAGGCAGGCAGCAGCAGGAACAGATCCCTGTCTTCAAAACAAAAGAAAAAACGGTGAATGCAGAAAGATGATGTAAAATAAGGGATATGGGAATGAATGGGAGTGGCTATTTCCAAGGAGGAGGAATAGTTCTGCCCGGACAGCAGATGGTGATCCCCCCACCTTGTTTTACAGCAGTGGACCAAAAATCGAGCACCAAGGAGCGGTGGACATCTGCCCCGAGCACTCCAGCCATACGGCAGCGCGTGGCTGTGCTGCCTGCACCGCAACCTCAGGCTGCTGAGCCCTGAGGAGCTCCTAAGAGCTGGGTGAAAAAGCAGAGATCTTGTTGGTGACAGCGGCCTCCTGACTGTGGAACCACGGAACCATGGAACCAAGGAACCATGGAACCACGGAACCATGGCGCTACAGAACTGCGGAACCACAGAACCATGGAAGCACGGAACGACGGCGCCAACCGCCGGTCCTCACGCAGCACTTCGCTCTGCAATCGCGCACTGCGTTCTCAGCTCCGGTTGACTGAGCACCAATCAGAATGCGCCTCGGCCTCATCGCCCACACCTGACGCCAATCACGGGCTGACGGTCCTGCACGCCCCGCCCCACGCGGGGCGCCCACTCACGCCTCCAGGCCGCGGCCCTGACCGGGCGGCAAATTGATCCGCCAGCGCACAGGTGGCGCTGTCCCACCGAAGTGGATGCGGACGCTCCCGGAAGTTATAGGGCGGCTCAAGGATGCGATAGAGGCGGCTCCCGGAAGTGGCGCCCCCGGCTGTGTCGGGCGGCGCTGACTCTCTCGTGTTGGCAGTGCGTTCCTCCGGGCTGTGTGCGCGGCTTCAGGTTTCCCTTTACGGAGCCTGATGTGCAGCGGAGCGTTCGGGCAGCGCGGTGCCCGTATGTGGCGGCGTTGAGAGCACGGCTACTCGGTGCCCGCGCCCCGCCGGGCCCAGCAGCTGCTAATCTGCTGTGCTCGTGAGGCCGCCAGCTGGTGGTGGAAAGCTGGGGATCCAGCAGGCTGAACAGAGCGGCTGACAGGGGATCTGAGCAATGGTTATCGGTATCTGAAGGGTGAGGGTCAGGTGTAAGGTGGCGCATTACAAGTGCAGAATGCTTCTGAGGGCGTACACTGAGAAACATTGAAGGAAAAGACACAGTATAAGAAATGTAATAAAAAAACTAGCTGAAAACATGGTCGGGTTGATGGATGGTCTTTATGATTTTATTTCGTAAAGAAAAACGATACTATGACAGTGACAGAGCAGTGGAACATGTTGCCCAGAGAGGCTGTAAAGTCTCCTTCTCCAGGGATATTCAAACCCTGCCTGAACACTTTCCTGTGTAACATTCTGTAGGGAAGCTGCTCTAAGCGGTGTTGGACTGGGGGATTTCCAGAGGTTCCTTCCAACCCCTGCAATTCTGTGACTCTGTGAGGTTCCTGTTGTGAAGAGAGCTCCTCAACTAGCAGCTGCCTGGAGCATCTGGAGACCCTGCAGAGGCCCTGTGTTCTCAGAAGGCGGATGGCTTCACAACATGGGCACTGGATTAGGAAC